TGTTTAATGGACTGGAACCACTGGACTGACTGGAACTACTGGACTGACTGTTTAATGGACTGGAACCACTGGACTGACTGGAACTACTGGACTGACTGTTTAATGGACTGGAACCACTGGACCAAATGGAACCACTGGACTGACTGTTTAATGGACTGGAACTACTGGACTGACTGTTTAATGGCGCTCTGGACAAACCAAAGAACTTCGTCACAAAGTTAAAACATAATCAAAATAACACAGATGAGAACCTTTGTAATAAATAAGCTAAATAATAATTGTTGACATCATAATTAAGCCCCGCCCCCCACCTGACTGAGCGAGGTCTCCTTTCTGCCCACTGCTGTCTGGCTTGGAGAGGATCCCAGGGTAACAGGAGCTGCTTTCCCTGGAGTGCGTTTTCCTTGAGGCAGGAATGTGGAGAAGAAGTTCCTGGACGGGGTGGTGGAGGCGCTGGAGGATCTCTGACTCGACACCAAGTCCCTGAAACCCAGACAGAAACAGGTTCACTCACAAGTTTAACAGGTTATAATGGAGAACTGGAACCTGTTGGACCAGTTCTTGGTTTGGACGTTAATAACTCCAGATCTTTTTAATTCTCAGTTTTTATACTTTCACCTTGATATTCTTGTTATTTATTGATTATACTCTAATTGTGGAACCGTGACGGTTCCTGAAGGTCACTGAAGGTGATCAGATCCAAATGAGTTTCCTCATTAGACTGGAGGACGGTCAGACTGGGAACCAGTTGGTTCTTCACTGGTCTGGATCAGTTCTGTGGTTCTTTGAGTTCTGACCCACCTTCTACTTCACAAAGAACCAGCCCCAGTGATTAACGCTTGGCGTAGATGTTTGCTGGTCCGATTCAGGAAGGTTCTGGATGAACCATCCCATCCTGAGCTGGACTCTGCAGGGCGCTCACTGACCGACCAGGATTACAGTTCATCAGCTGAATGCTTTATTTGGCAGAATCATCACAGTTTAAACAGCAGCAATAAATTAGCAGCAACAGTTAATTATTCATAAACTAACAAGACAATCTTCTGAAAAGGCGACTCTGTGGGGATTTTATTCTCCTTCAAAGAACAGATAAATAAACCGGATCTGATGATGAGAGTCTGGCGCTGAATCACTAACATCCAGGAAATCACTTTCCTTCCCAAACTAAGAGTAAAAAGCTGAATAAATTCTCTATTTTTATCGCCGTAAGAAACGGTTCAGGGAAATGTCTTGGCCGACATGTCAACGCTAAACGTAAAATAATAAAACAGCTGCTGTAAGTTTAATTTAAAGCCACTTCAGGTAAAATGGAGCAAAGGTTAATAAACAAATAAAAAAATATTAATTTTAAATAAACATTCCATTCCAGAGGATAAAAGCATTCACCGTAACGTTTAAAGCTAAGAAAATTTGGAAACACTTCCTGGTTTTTTAAGTGAGTCTAAAAGTTGCTGGTTGCTAAGCAACGATCAGATTAGCTTAAAGGCTTGATTGTGATGGCTGCGGGTCAGACGGCTCATCACTTCGCCCAAAACATTTACTTATTGATGAAAAGAAGACTTTTTTAAAAGCAATTTTTATTTCTAAACATATTTTAGTCTCCTTGATTAGACTTGGAAACAAAGTTTAATCAATTAGAGTCAGAATTAGCACTAAAGCATCATGCTAACTGAAGTCAATTAACAGAAATGCTAAAGCAGCAGCATTGAAGGTCAGTTCTAACAACATTAAAACAGAAATTTAATACTTAAAATCTCAAAGTAAAGCTTTAGCACTAAAGCTGAACGTAAACAAAGAGAAGGATTACTAAACGTTTCCACAGAAGCTACTAAAAAATATGAACGCTTAAAATAGAGAAGAAAAAGAAACGCTATGAAGATTGGAACTAAATATAACAGCAAAAACTTTAGCATTTAATGTTGATAATATCAGCACTAGCATAAAAGATAAATGCTAAGGTTAAGCTAACTGGAGCATAAAAGGTGAATCATTTAAACAGTGAAAACTGTTGAAAACAACATTAAAGGGCAATTAAATTAGAGGTGAAGCTTATTCCTGCAGCTAACAACCTTAGCATCAAAGTAAAATGCCAGGATTAGCCCATTAATGAGAAGAAAATGAGCCTTTCAGCTAAAACTCATTAGCACTGATGCCAATGGTAGGCGGCTCTTCTTTGGAACCTTTTCAGCTCTTTAACCAAAGATGGCTGCCGACTCAGAGACAGGAAGTGAGATGTGCTGCGGTCAGAGAGAGATCTTAGAGGCTCACAGCTCAGTGTCTCCCAGGCGGTCCATGTTCTGGACATACAGCGGCAGCTTATGCTGGACCATCTGGTCTCCATCCTTCTGCTCCCTGCTCTCCGTCTGCAGGGCGAAAATCTGCAAAAAGGAAA